AGATAGATAGATAGATAGATAGATAGATAGATAGATAGATAGATAGATATGCACACACACTGTACACACACAAATCACAAATATACATGCATGCACACAGACAATTGGGTGTTTAGAGAGTGTACACGACTAAACAGTTCCTTTTGATAGAGGGAAAAAAAAAGTGAATGTCAACAAAAAGCAACTTAAATAGGAGTTCACAATATTTTGGTCACGTCACTGAAGTTCAAAATATTAGGACCAGCTCCCCCAGTCGGAAGAGTTCTTTATGACTGCATTACAACCAGAGTTCAGCCTACTGGACGTGTTTATTTCAGATTTCATTCCGCGTTTTTTGTTTAACTCTTTGAACCCGTGTTGTTGTTGTTTTTTTCTTGCAACTGTGCGGTACATGTTAGGTTTTCAGATCAATGCGAGGCATTTACGCGCACCCTTCCAAACAAGGTCAACAGGAGGCAAGTTTTCAACACCTTGCCGAGTTGGAACCACGCCCGACTGCGCGCCGATTGGCTGTCCGCGTTTATAAATAACCCCAACGTGCACGGGGAGTCGGTGAGCTTCCCAGTAGCTTCTCGGTGGATGGGCCGAAACTTTAGAAAGCTTTGCGACTCTTGATTTCGCTACTTGATTTGGCGGGAGAGGGGGGTCGGGGGCAGGGGGGGGGGGTGTTTGGATTTCAACAGTTTCGCTAAAAAAAAAAAAAAAAGGCCGCTGGAAAAAGAGATGAGCAGTCCGGATGCGGGCTACGCCAGCGACGATCAGAACCAGGCAAGGTGCGCGATGTCAGTCATGATGCCTGGGATGGGACACTGCCAGTGGGCCGCCGACCCCCTCAGCCCCCTCGGGGAACCCAAGGCCAAAAGCGAGGCGGCGGCCACCGGCGGGCGCCTCGGAGGCGCGACCGGGGGGAACCAACCGAGTCGCGGCAAGAGTGAGCCCAGGATCCGGCGCCCCATGAACGCTTTCATGGTTTGGGCGAAAGACGAGCGCAAGCGGCTGGCGCAGCAGAACCCGGACCTGCACAACGCCGAACTCAGCAAAATGCTCGGTCAGTCACGCGTGCTCGTTTTTTTTTTTTTTTTTTCTCACCGTCACTCCACAAGTTGATTGGACTTCATTCCACGAGAGTTTCTGCTATTTTGCTTCCGTGTGATTTGGTTTGGGTTGACGGGTTGATTCCATTCAAACAGCGGGGTACTTTCTTATCGAATGCGTTACTTTAAAAATAGCTCGGAATGCAAATATTACGTTTAGTCTATTGAAACATAAGTCCGTCATGTATTCCTTTCACATTTATTGTACATAGTACTTCTTAATACAAACACTATGAGTATCTTTTAATTCATAGGATGGAACTGCACCGATCGTTTCAAACATCAAAGGAGATTTGATGACATTTTTCGTGACCGGGTCAAGAACATCAACATTTCATACTTATACGAATTGATTGCAGCATGATAGGACCTGACGCACACTCACACTTTTCAAGTCCAACACTGCCGTAAATTCTATCAAGATCACACGTTCAGTCAATCGGACGTGCGTGAGTGTGTGTTGAGATCACATAGCTTCCAAATTTCTTTTGTTACATCTTTTGCTTTGATACTGTTGTTCGATGGCACGACCAAGACAACGCAAATGTCATTTCTATGCTGAGCGAGCTCATATTTCCACATTGCATGTCATGAGCCTTTCTTTCATATTTGGCAGTTGGCAACTCAAGGCTGCTTTGAGTTTAAGATTTTCAATTGGGTTGCAAGGCTCAAAAATTCGACCTGACTTTTGTAATTTTCTGTCTTTAAAAAAAATAAATAAATAAAACGTCATAATACTTTCATTCTATTAAAAAAAAAAAAAAGTACAAAAAAATGCATCAACGTCCGAAGCAAATTGAGGACAAAGTCAGCGATTTGCGGCTTTGGTTATACTGGTTGCAGGTGTACATATTTTTATTATTATTTTTTTACCCATATAATACATTTTTATCAACATACTTTTGGAAGCCCCAAGCTACATATTTCAATTTATGTGACACAAAAATGTTGAAACAAGTACAAATACTTTGCTGCTGTATCAAAATAAATTTTCAGGTTCGTGTCCTTGACTCGAGTCTTTTTGGGGACGATTATTTTACTGTCACTCCCTACATTTGAAGATATATGCAGATTTTGTACTCTTGGTCAAAATAGGATGGTTAAATTGTACAATCATTGATTTTGTGACTGCCTATAAAAAAAAAAAAAAAAGTCCTGCTTCTTGTCTTCAAAAATCTGCCGAATGTATTAGGGAAAAAAAATTTGAACAAGGTGGAAACTTTTTCCCCCTTAGTTGTTGCCAAAAACGAATTGTGTGTATTTTGTTGGTCAGCTCACAACGTAAGCAAAACAACGCGACATACACGCCGATGGTTTGATGGCATAAAAGTTGAGCCAAGTCAAACGAGCTTCCACTTAAACCGCGACGTGACACCGTTTTTTTTCTTTTTCTTCTTATCCTTTGCAGTTACAGTACAAGATTATCAGAGTTGATAAATAAGGGATGACCCCATTTTTTACTTTTGTACAGAAATACATTTCAGTCTGTAGTTTGGGACTTTTACTTTAGGATAGGAGTTGAAGCAGCACTTCTATGTTTATCTTTTTCTTTTTACTGAAGTCTACTGAGGTAGCGAGTGTGGTACTTTTGTAACCTTGGGAGGAATATGCTTGGACATTTTTTGAGGCGGACATTAATTTGATTCACTTCAACTCAGTTCCTTTATCACCAAAATGCCAAAAATATGGTGACAAAGCACTTGTTGGGTTGAAACTCCTCAACTTACTCTGTGCTGATGAGATTGTCATGGCAACAGAGACGGGCTGAAATCTCATTAGACATTTGCATTGTGGAAGAGAAACGCAAGGGAGGAAATGAAGAGAATCGAGTATTGGGAAGAGATTGAAACAATTTCATGGCTCAAACACTACAAAGAGAAAAGGCCTCGCAGACTCCGACGTAACAATAAGTGCGAGTCAGCAAGAAAGAGTGCATCAAAAGTTTCGGCTCATTTCACCCAAAACAAGTTCCAAGTGGCTGAAGTGACACAACTGCACGGCTACGTTAACGTCAACATGGTTAGTTCATTAAATACAGCCTAGCGCTGCGATTGTAAACAAGTTAATTCGGACAAAGGGAAGTCTGGTGCACTTCCACTGGCTTTTTTTTTTGAACACGCGGTAACAAAATGGAGTAAAGATGAGCACTTGGTCTCAACTGACTCCATCACTCCACACACACAGTGGCTCAGCGTCGAGCCAGGTAACTGCCCGCCAACTCTGCATTCTCATTTGCTGACATCCACGTCACTCACCAGGTTAGGCCCGCCTTTTAAAGGCACACACATTCAACCTACGGCGTAGACAGCGAGGTTGTGTTCCCAAGTGGATAAGAATACGACCTGCACCTCACATGCATACATTGGAGTATTACTGTATAGCCGCATATATATATATATATATACACACACACTTTTTTTTACTAAATTTACAGCAATTCAAATTTCATTTAAAAATAATGCGAATGAAAAAGAGTGTCAATTGGCGCTTGCCCTTGTGACGTGTTTGGCTGTGTCGTTGGTGCAGGCAAGTCGTGGAAGTCGTTACCGGCGGCAGAAAAGCAGCCGTTTGTTGAGGAGGCCGAGCGCCTGCGAGTTCAACACATGCAGGACCACCCCAACTACAAGTACCGGCCCCGCAGGCGCAAGCAGGTTAAGCGGATTAAGCGGCTCGACTCGGGCTTCCTGCTGCACGGGGCGCCCGGGGACGGGGCGGGGACGGGGGGGCCGGTCTACCACGAGCATCCCGGCTTCCCGCAGATCCCTCATCATCATCATCAGCAGCAGCAGCAGCAGCCACTCGCTCACTACCGCTCGGACCCCCTCGGCGGACCCTCCTACGAGAGCTACAGCCTCCCCACCCCTGACAACTCGCCCTTGGACGCCGTGGACGCCGACTCCATGTTCTTCCCCGCCCAGGAGGACTGTCACATGATGTACGCTTACCACCCGCAGGGTGGCGACTACCAGCACCAGGAGCCCCTCCACCCCCACCACCAGCAGCACCAGCACGCTCCTTACGTGGGGTGCCCCAACCCCTTGACCGTGTACTACGGTCACACCAAGCGGCACCCCGGGGCGGGCCAGCTGTCGCCGCCGCCCGACTGCCAGCCGCACGCGGCGGCCGAGAGCGCCGAGCTGCTCTCCGAGGTGGACCGAAGCGAGTTCGAGCAGTACCTCGGCTCCTCGGCGTACGGCGCCCTGCACGAGGCTGGCGCGCAAGGACCCGAGGGCCTCATATCGTCCGTGTTGTCTGACGCGAGTACGGCCGTCTATTACTGCAGCTATAACAACTCCTAAAACCTCGGCGCCATATTTGACCTTTCACCTCCCTCTTGAACTCCAAGGCCAGACAACTCAAGGACTTTTTTTTCCGAGCAAACGTTGGTTTTTGATATCAAGTCCATTTGTACAGTCACTATTTCAAAGTCTTTGTATGTCATTTAAAAAAAAAAAATACTTTTGCACTTTTGACTAATAAATTTTGCAAACAAATCAATGCTTGTCTCCTCTTCATTGCTTGTGCCGCTAAAGAAAAAAATAAGGCGTGAAATATAGAAAATTGCTCAAGGAGAAAACTGCTGACGAAGACATGTTTCAATGGCTGACTGTCAGTATGGCGTGGGTGAAGGAACAAAACGTTTTTCCTCTTTTGCTAAATAAACATGAAATAAACACATCCCAAAGGTGACGAAGGCTAAAATACCGTCCGTGACCTTTTGATTGCAGTTTGTCGGTCGGGTTAGCGGCGTGGCGTGGGTGAAGGAACAAAACGTTTTTCCTCTTTAGCGAAATAAACGCATCCCAAAGGTGACAACGGCTAAACACCGTCTGTGACCTTTTGATTGCCGTTTGTCGGTCGGGTTAGCGGCATTACGGAAAGACAATGGAAGATGTGACGGGGAATTATGATTATTTTTTTTTACATAAATGTTAATGTGGTTTGAGAATTATGCTGTTCGTCCACTTGCCAAAAGCGGCAACAGATGTAGCCTTGGTGGAGGTCAACGTCGTACTTTTTACACCTTGCATTTGAACGCTTCCTCACTTCTGGGATGTTTTTGTATATTTTACACGCAATTGTTTTTCAATCCGCCTCTCACCTGGAAGCCTGGCGCGGCGCGGCTATTCTCACAGACGGTAGGGGAGGCTGGCCTGGATGCTTCGAGAGGTCATTTGTATGTGTGTGTATGTGAGAGAGTTCCACACGGCGCCTTGCTTTCGCAGCACGAGATGGCAAGTTGACGCGGCGGACATCCTGCCTCGACATGATTCACGCCGGGGGTCGGCGATTTCCACGCTACTCGTACGTGGCCGTTCAACACTGAAGTGGTGTGAAACGAAACGTGTTCATGGAATCGTACGAGTTGGAGAATATGGGCATGTCGTGACAGCAGAATCAAAGCAAGGACGACACAAAGAGTTCCATCAACAACAACAACAACAAAAAATTTTGCGTTGGAAAGGGCTAATTATTATTTTTTGTATTAGATGTCAGCCAGTGGGTAATTGGGTGTATTTACAGGTGACGCTGTCCCGTTTTAAAAATCGATATTTCTTCTGGTTAGAATGGAAGAGGGTCTTCGCTCTGCCCCACTGCTCTCTTTTGAGCTCTTCGGGGGGAGAAAACACGTCGGAGCATTGCGTGCGCGCGTGTGTGTGTGTGTGTGTGTGGCCCGAGGCCGCGCAGGAGAATCCAGTCTAATTGTAGTGAATGCGTTTTCAGTTGAGTCTGCGGCTTGATCCTGCCTGTTGTTGCAACTAACGGCTGCATAACAAGAGGCTCAGGGCCCTGACCCCCCCCGCCCCCCCAGGCCCCCGAGCCACAGCAACGTGGGTGGGGCTCACCTGCGTAAGCAGGCGGAGACGTGAGCTCATCAGGGTCCGATAATTACTGCTGACACTGCAAGGGAAACTGATTTTAACAGGTGATCCAGTTTCTGCTTTCCTAACTCTGAAAAGACATGCTCCTTTTTTTCTTTTTTTTTTACATTGACCTCAATTGAATTTCTTTTTTGCCTGCGAATTCAAATGGAGTTGTTTTCATTTTATTCTTTTTTTTTGTAAATTTATTTTTAAAATGATGTAGATTTTATCATTATTTATACTTTATTACATTTTTTTTGGCTTTTGTACATGGGAACCCTGACATTTAAAAAAAAAAAATTCACAATATTGCTTGTCTGTTTATACATATGGGTGTGTGTAGAGAAAAGGGGGTGCGCCAACTCTATAGGGATGCTGAAGGGGCGTGTGATGAGTAAGATATGAGACCTCCGGGGAGTGACATAAGGAGACATTTTAACTTGTTTTGGGTGCATATGTAGGGCAGTGGGAAAATGAAGTGAGAAAGTGATGCGCTTATGATGCAGACTTGTGCATGGCATGTTTCACTTCCAGTATATAGCCGCAAAGATGACAAAATGAAGACAGTGCCCGCTACCTGTTTGATTGACCATTGTGCGCATATTTCGGAAGATATTTTTGCACTCGCCCACGTGGGTGCGCGTGTGATGGAATCGGGAGGAAAATAAACGATGGAGTCAGCGTGTGACTAAATTTAGCGTGCATAACAAGTGGACACGGGTGCGCGGCTCACACCATAAAAGCGATGGTTGGGGCGGCATTCGCGCGGATTAGCGAGCCCCTTTGGACGCACCCCTCCCTCAGCTGCAGCTGTCCCAAAAGGCTACTTGTGCAATCTACCATCAATAACTTAATCAGCGAACACCTGCCTGCGCACCCCCCAACACCCAGTGACCTTTAAAACATCTTTCCAGAACCCAATTGCTTTTCGCTATGGAGATCAATAACCAGAAGGAAGATAGGTACACGATATGTACAAAAGGATTGGCACACATGATTTGATCCATAATATATCACAAAGGGGTTGGACGGACTCCCTCGCTCTGGTACGCACCTTAAGAAAAAAAAATCATAAAATTTCCTGCCACTTTCACTTCCTGAGGTTCCTTTTTTTTTTTTTTTTAAATCCATGCATGCCATTCAACATCCCAACCAGGTGACTCAGCGCACCCCCTCTGCCTTTTCCTTTTTTTGGGGGTGGGTGCTGTAACTGGAGGAGCTTTGGTAGCTTGCCCAGAGGCGGCGCAGGCCTCCAATGATCTGCCGCTCACCCCCCCGTGGAATTCGGGCGGTGCAAGCAAACAAACGAGTGAGTCAGATGACGACACCGGTTTCCTGCACGGCCGACGTGCTCCACCTTCTCCCAGCTGCTCGCTCGTCGGACCCCCGGCCGGCGTACCACCTTCTCGTTTGAAGGCAGACGCCGGCCGGGACCAAACAATGGGTGTGACTCAGCCGCGGGAAAAGGAAAACAATCGCTCACGCGAGTGAATCAGGCATCAAGGATGCTGCGAGGGCGACGCGTCACACCAACTGTTACTCAACCCAAAAACACGACGCGACCCGATGCGACGCCGCTTGCGGGGCAAAAGTTCATACATTTAAAAAATAACATTTTCATTGATGTGGAGCTACCTCAAGCCACGACGTGTGGTGTGTGTGTGTGTGTGTGTGTGTGTGTGTGTGTGTGTGTGTGTGTGCCACCTGTCTCCACTTCCGCTGGACGCGCATGAAAGACGGTCTGAGAACATCCTGTCATCGGGCATGTCCAACAGGAAGCGTTGCTCTGTGAAATTCGCACCCCTTGTTGCTTATTTTGGGGGGGAGGTTGATGGCCAGTAAGTTGCGCTTTCCCTAAAAAAACAAAACAAAAATTAAAATGTAAGAATCACGGGAAAATCTATGGGAGGTGTCACTGTTTGTGGTGCCCTTGGTCAAATGGCTCAGTAGTGTTCTTCGCATCTTAGTCACATATCAGGACATATCATGAATCATTTTTTTAAGTTATCAAAGTGTTTTGTCTTTTGTGTTGACCTTTGTGTTTTTTTTGCCTGGCTTGAATTGAAGGTTTTGGTTTTGCAGCGCCTGCAAATGATGGGCTTGCAGTGCCCGCTGGCGCCACTGGGGGGCGTTAGCTGAGCACACTTGTTTGACCCGCTTAGGACAAGACGTTTGCAACTTACACTTCCCTCTCAAAGGTAAAGTGTCATTTTTTCCCCCCTGCACCACAACTGGTACTCATAGTCTCAAATTTATTTGAGAGTCTTTTTTTTTTCCTCTGACGAGCCTGAAATGACTAAACCGCATTGGAATTTGATTGAGAAACAGGAAAGGTACCTTTCTTCTTCCACAAGGCAGTCGCAGGACTGTCTGAAGATGGACTGCGATCGCGAGGCATGATCGTCTCATGGCTGCTGTGCGCACCTTTGCCACCAGGCGGCACTAGAACACAGACACACAAACTCAGTTCTGAAGAAGAATTTTTCCCTGGTTTGCACTATTTGTTGGTTCCATCCTTTTGAAATTAGGCTCCCCCTTCACGATCCCCAACTTTGCAAAGCCGTGCGCCCCCTCTGTGGCATGAGATTACGACGGCGTACCCGTCACAAGATTGCTGACTTTGGGGAAATCAGCGCTCGTGTCACAAGCTTTTGTTGTGGGCTTGCAGGAAGGTCAAGGCCTCGTCAGAAAGTGCATGTCAGAAAGCGAGCCAACCCTGCACTATCGGTATTGTGTTCCATTGCGTGCGTGCGCGTGAGCGAGCGTGTGCGTAGGGTAGCGGGCAGCAAGGAGGAGCGCCAGTTTCGGCCCCCATGTCGCCGCAATCAAGGCGACACGGCCGGCTCGGGCGGATAAATCACTCCTCGCCAGGCCGCCGTTGGCCGTCGGAGGGAGGACGCGTGCATTCTGCGCATGCTGCCCTTCAGATTGATTTCACCGCGAGGCACTTTGATGGGGTGCACAAAAGCATTCTTGAAAAAGACATTCATTAGCTATTAGCGACTTACAACATGCTACATAAGCAGCTCATACAATAAAAAAATCATGTGCTGTTAGCATGTCAGGAATATGCAAGCAATTGGGTGCTGGTTAGCTGTGTCATTCGTTCTCTTTGTTCATCTGTTGCTTTTAGCATCATAAATCCTACAAGAGGCTGGAAATCACTCAAAGGGAGGAAATAAAACAGGAGGTGAGGACAAGTTGAAAGCATGTGAAGGGAACGGTTGCCTAATTGAACAACGGTGCTCTCGGCAGAGGAGTGCTGAGCGATTTACGGCATGCTTATCTCCTCTGGAGAAAAAAAAAATAAAAATCCGGTTTTAAAAACGAACGGTCGCCATGCAGCTGCAAGGCTTTCTAATTGAATTCTGGGGAAATCCCTGGAGGAATGTGAACTCTGGAGAGGCTGCTGCGGCGGCGACAACGCGACAGATGCCGGCCATCCGCCGCGTTACGCTCGCGGCCGCCACGCGCAACAAGATGCCGGGCCGGGCGACGTGGCAGCAGCTGCACGCCACCGCGACCGATTTAGCCCCAGCGTACATTTTTCCCCATTAACAGGCGAGGTTGGAAGCTCGCGTGGCGCCAATTAGCCGTCGCCCGCCCTAAAAATAGGCGCCAGGCGGCCTTGGGGATTGATGCACGGGCGAGCGGCCCGTTCACGTGCGATGACGACAGAGGGAAAAATTGGAAAAAGGACAGCGCCGGCGTCACCCGCCGCCTCACTTGCATGCTACGCGCTGACCTCCAACAGGGAAACTTGGAGGTCCTTTCAAAGAAATAAATACAGAAATTTGGTGGAAATTTCACATTTACATCGGGCAGAAAATCAGAAAAGCAGTGTTCACGGGCTTTCACAAAACTTTCCATACGACTGCGGCGGTGCTCTCCACCGCCGCCCAAAAATTGAACGTGGCAATTGGTTTATGATGGCTTGCAGTCGGGGGTTCCGATCTATGAGTTGCCCCAGTGTCTTATCTTTGTGCTTGTGGAATGGGGAGTGACATGCAGACGACGTGTTTACTCTGGGGGGGGCTTCCTCTATATCCCCCCCGCCCCCTGCGATTTCCCGTCTTGGAACTTTTGGCATTTGTGTGCCCGGTGTTGTTTTGGGAAGGGGGTCACGAGCTCGGCATTCCTCGCTTCTTTTCCACTTGCACGTGGGAGTCGCGGTCTTATCTTTTACGCGCCTTTTCCTGCGCTGATGGGCATGTTGCAAAAAAAAAAAAAACTTCTGTGCTCAGGGGGCCACGTTGTGGTTTGGCTCGCGTCATCTGGACGGGAGCTCATTTCAAGTACGGGACTTATTAAAATCTGTCATTTATTTTGCAGTTCAGTCAAACGTCCTCATCGTTCAGGGTGAGCTTGCGACATATTCATCGGCTGATCATTTACTCAATTTGACGGATTATTTGATCAAATGATGTCGTTGCTCCATTGCATTCACGGTTTGTGGGAGGGACAAAAAGTCACGGCTGCCATCACACAAATAGCATGGTTCCTTTTTGGCCGGCCATTATGCAACATGCGCTAAGCTAACGGAGGAAGTGGCAGGCGCGTGCGTGCGGTTGAGAACTAATTTTCTATTGCCTGCCTGGGCGGGTTTGGGGGGGGGCAAAACCAAGTGTTGGGCGGCACGCCGGCCCTTCATCACACCAACAAACGAGCCAGGCTGGCCTCTCGACGCTTGCCGTAATTGATGCCAGCTCACCGCAACATTATAAATATAAAGCCTCCCTTCATGCCACCCTTGATTCCTTCCATCATCCATTCTTTTTCTCCCATATGACAAAACCCGTGCAGTGGCAAATTTTGCTGTTGGCCTGACGGAGAGGCTTCACCGTCATTTAGTGGGCGTCTTCTCGCAGGGTCTTGCGAGTGAACAATCCCTTAATCCTCATTATGCGAGAGCTTCTCAATGAGATTAGACCCACCCCGCACAAATGCCACCGCGCACTCTTGTTTGCCACATTAGCATCCGTCCGTGTGTGCGGCCAATTTTTTTTTTTTTGAAGGTGCCACTACAACCACAGGAGCGCAAAGACTTGTGAGTCCAAGTTGACTACATGTACGGGTTTGGTGGTGATACCTACGTGTATACATGACGACGATGGCCCAGCATGCTTTGCACTAGCTTCGGGGGATTAGCGCCGAGCAAAGATTAAGCAAATTAGCTGCGCCGGTGTGGCCCGAAATAAGCAGTTGCCACGGAAGCCAACCGGGCAGAAGTTGGGATGTAGAGCACTGTGGTCTTTTGAGCCTCCAAAACAAGCAGTTTCACCATGACAACCTAGGTGAGTTTTGGATTCTTGTTATGGATGTTGGGGGATGATTTGGAGTATACTGTAAATCCACCACAAATCATCGGACAAGTGAATTTGAAAAATGACTGTTTTTTGATGAAGACGTTAAATTCTGAATTCTGACCCGAACATTTGTCTTTGTGGTTTGAAATGCCTTGTTCCTGTTGGAAATGTGAACGAAAAACATTGAAGCCGTGCAAGATGCCAGGTGGCCTAATATGTTTGTTGAGCACCGTGGGTATTTTTAGCTGCCGTTCTCAAGTCAATTAGAGCTGCGAGCAGTGACGAGTGGGCCCTCCGTGCGCTCTTCTGATTGAAACATCTACCCAATTTCAAGTTTTGTAGTGAATCTGATCCAGACGGCTTTTTAAAAAAAATGCATTTCAAAGCATCTTTTCATGGAATTTAGCTCAAAATTTCACACTGGCAAGTCAAACTGGTGTGGGTGGGCTGTTTTTTTTTCTTCTAACTTTACAGGTGGTGCCAAAATTTTTAAGGCAGGGTCAGCCAGCCAGTAGAAAAAAAAGGAACAATGGCACCCTATAGTTAAAAACTTGGTCGTGAGACTGATATTGCTAGTAAGTATCCGGACGAGAAATCTCCAAGTTCTTTGCTCGTGTTTTGTTGAGGGGTGTTGCTGGGTTGGTACCAGTAAGCGGGAAAATCACGTTTGCGTCGTTCCCAGAAATCCGTTCAAGTCGTCATTTGACGTTCGTGCCTCTTTCAAGTAAACACCATATGTTGGCCTAACGCGAGGCACGTGCTTGCGCATCATTGAGTTAATTCTGACACCTTTGTATTATCGAACCCCAAGTTCAACTGACTCCCTCTCACAGTGAATCACAGTGATGAACGAGTCAGGCCCTCGCAAGATCCTCCCTGACCAGTCGTCGGAGAGTCTGCGCACCATCGGCACCTCCCGCCATGCGAGCGTCACCAACCCCATTCTGTCCAAGCGGGTGTGCTTCTACAAGAGCGGCGATCCCCAGTTCAGTGGCCTGCGCATGGTGGTCAACAACCGCTCCTTTAAAACCTTCGACGCCCTCCTGGACAGCCTGTCCAAGAAGGTACCGCTGCCGTTTGGGGTGAGGAATATCACCACCCCGCGGGGGGTCCATGCCATCAACACGCTGGACGAGCTGGAGGATGGCAAGTCCTACATCTGCTCTGACAACCGCAAGGTAAAGCCCATCAATCTGGCACTGGCCAGGAGGAAGCTGGCGCCCTGGTACCACGCCAGGCCAGTGAGCTCCCGCCGCCGGAACTTGCAGTGGGCCAGGTCCTTCCCTGGACGGCAGGAACCCATGCTTGTGCACACGCCAAAGAGACTGGCGGTCTTTCGGAATGGAGACCCCTCAGTCAAGCACACGGTGGTGTTGCAAAAGAGGAGTGCGACGACCTTTGAGTGGATTCTGGAATATATTTCAGAGATGATGCAGTTCCATGTGGTGAAGCTACATACGACTGATGGCAGACGCGTAAGTGCATCCAAAAATGTTCCCCTGTGGTGAGTGAGCAGCATGATCGACCCATATAGGACTTTCTTAGCACTCCCCTGTAAATGGCTGGCCCATAAAGGGAAAGTCTTAAGCTTCTTTAGCAGCCACCCTAATCCCCACACTGCATTTAGGTATACTGCCATGTAAGGCAACTGGTCAGGGATCTGTTTTCCACTGACAAGATCCTAGTGACATGCACAACAATAATGCTTGTGGCGCCATAGGAATTTTTTCAATGAAATCAGTCCCGCTGTTTTACACTTCCTGAAAGTGAGACTTTTTTTCCGTTCGCCGAAGGTGGAGGGGCTCGCAAGCTTGATCTTGTGCTCCGGCGTGGTGGTGGCGGCGGGCAAAGAGCAATTCAGACCTGCAAACTACAACGCCCAAAAGTCGCCGGGATCCATAAGGCCACCCGGCAACCGGATGAGCGTCAGGAGACTGAAGGCTATGCACCGTAAGTTCAATTCGCTTCGACTTGGTAGGGCCTTCAGTCATGTGACCAGTGTAATCTACCTAGTATCACAGGATAAAGCCTGAGAAGTGCTGATGTGATTTTATCATGCGTAGATGACCTACATACGGCACCTGTGAAGCTGACTACTCAGAGACACACCATCTTTTTAATTGGTGTCCTCTCTTCTTCTTTCATGACTCATCTCCATTGCTGCATGAAATCCTTTGACAATTTTTCCCCCGCCGCTTCATGGGTGAGAAGGCAAAAAGAAGTCGCCGTCATATGGGTCCAAGTCAAGAAACTTCTCCACGTCCTCTGAGCGCTACATCGTGAACAAGATTCACAATTCCCTCATGGAAAGCTCGTGCGACCTTCCCAGCCACCCCGCCAACTCCGTCGGATACGAGTCTGGACATGTAGCTGCCGAAACCCAGGGCGGGGAGCTGAACTATGCGCAGCCTGATGAGGACGACATTGAAAAGTCCTTTCGGGTGAACCAAGATGGTAGTATGACAGTGGAAATGAGGGTGCGCTTGACCGTCAAGGAAGAGGAGACCCTACACTGGACGACCACCTTAATGCGCTCCAGCATGGCCAATCATCTTAACATGGACTGTTTGCAAGAACCGCAGTTGGAGCAGGACGTCTCTCCCGCCACGCCAGATCTACAAGACCTTATCTCCTCCAATGACACCATCAACAAGGATGAATCCAAAGACGACCACGACGAGAATCCGCCGTCACTGGGCAACAGGGTTTTAAGTCTAAGCAGCTACGAAGAGGACACTGTCGAAATCCAGGCAACGTCTCCCAGGAGAGCGCCAACCCCGGGACATACACAAATCAGAAACAAGCATGCTTCAATGGAGAGCGTTGGATCTTACTCTTACCGAGAAGAGACAGAAAACGGAGCCTTGACAGAGCAATACTGCGTTGTCAGGCAGAGCAGCACCAGGCCAATACCCAAACCAAGAAGGCTCAGCTCGATGGACGCTAACAGCATGAACAACGCATCATATAAATCGGCTGAAATCATGCATATGGAATCCAGCGGGGAGGAGATCACTGAGACGGTCTTGCATATTTATGAACAGCAAACTTGCCAGGATAATTACAACGCAAACGTGGGTTCATTTTATCGACCCGCTACTTCAGAAACAAGACACCTTCACAGAAATGACGTCTTTGAACACGAGTCCTGGGAACCCTCAACAGCCTCTGAATCTATTAACATCTGGAATGCTGGGAACAAGCTAGCAACATCACATTTCCCTTCTGCTAAGCATGGCAGAGTAAAAGCGACACAGGCAGCCAAGTCCGCCAAAGGCAAAGAAAAACAACCTCGGCCTAAGACCAGAAGGAGCCCCAAAGTAAGAAACAAAAGTATGAGACGTCTTCTGTCGCCTGGTAAAAGGCAGAGAGAAAACGGATCGGGAGATATGAAGAAACGCAAGAAAGCTACACCATTCTCGAACAAAGGGTTCATCAGGAAGATTTACGGGAATAAATTAATACCAGCAAAAAGCCCAGTAAAGCTCAAAAGGAGAATGACAAAAAATCTGGCGCGGAACGGTGGGGCAAAGAACTCAAAGCAATCAGATAAAACGCACCCAAAAACACTCCAGAACCCAAATTTAAGTGAGGCACGGAGAGTGCTGACCCGACAGACGTCGGTACATCGAGATGAGCATCGTGATGTGAGCGAGCTAATATCCCCGCCTGCTTTTGACTTCTGCAGCTCAGTTGCAAATGAATATGTTCAGAAGTGGCTGGAGAAAGTGCCTATTAAACAACATACTGACTGCCTGAGAAAGACCAACGGGACAGAAAATCGGGGACTTGTTCCTGCTGCTGTGCTGCAGAATGTCAGAGAATTAACAACACAAACATTGCCTGAGGATTTACGGGTAACTTCTGTCAGAGATCGAATCCAGTCCTTGGAGAACAACATGGTTCCATCAAATCATCAGACAAATGGCGAAGGAATAAAAGCTCAGCCTAAAACCGACAAGAAAATGCCACCTGTCAGCGCACCCAAAACTCATGACGGACTTCAAGAGAATTCTGATGTTCTTTCATCAAATTTCTTTCTACCGCCTTCACCCAAAGAGAAAAGGCCGGAAGCATCAGATCAAGAATATCACATGGCCTGCAGCCCAAAGTGCGTGCAGCCAGAACTGAGAAGTCAAACGTCGGATAATCGCCCGCCATCTGCCCAGGCTTTACTGCATGCCCAGCACGTCATGAAAATCACTCAACTGCTGGAGGCTGAGGTTTCAAAGGAGCTGGAAACATTATCAAGATCTACGTCTATCAAAAGGGCACCTTTGGTCAGTAATGTGTCTCTGGAAAGGAAAATGTCCCTCAGAAAGTCGAGTATGGAAAAATTTACCATATGTAACAATGAAGAGCAACAGCAATCACTCTTGGATATTAAGAGCAACTCTTCCGTGTCTTCAAATAGTCTTCACTCAGAAGAGAGGCTGTCCTCATTCAGTGTGCCATCGGATGAGGTTCCAAATAATATGCCACTGCCCAGGCCAAAAATCAGGGACAGTTCAAAATCAAAATCCAAAAATGCCACTCCTGAGCTTTCCAAAAGGTCCCAATCATTACAGTGCCATGCAAATGTCAGCCCCATGCCAAACAAAAGGCAGACGCAGTCAAGATCCGAACAATGGAAACAGACCGCACCTTCCAAATCGTTGGACCTGGCATCGCCTCCACTCAGACCCAAGTCCAAAAGAAGGATGCTGTCCAGAAATTTGTCGGCAGATTCAGGTGTAAGAAAAACACCATCTTTGAGAAAGCAGCTAAACTCTCTCCAGGCCATAAAACCGTCAGCCTGTACTTTTGTAAGTGCTAAAGAGACCGATGAGCTCCAAAAGCAAGACCAAGTGAAATCCACAACTGACACAAAAGTAAAAGCACAGCTGCCAAACAGTGTCGACCGGCCAAACATGGGACCCGTCCTTGAGAGCGTTTGCTTCTCTATCAGGTCTATACGGCTTATCGCCCAAAGCCAATCGTGCTTGGAAAAGTCCAACAGTGGGCGAGACTTCTCCTGTCACGTGGCCACCACGTTTGGCTCCTCATCCAAAGTTTTCCTGACGTTCTTGTCCATCATGGCCCTGAAAGACAGCATTGCCAACCTCTATTTGGACCAGGTGAAGGTGAATGATGTGAGCTCTGCTGAGGCATTGAGAATGATCGACTCCCTGAGGGAAATCACTAGCGTGGAGGACAGCCACCGGTTAGAAGAAAGTCTGTCGGCTTTATGGAAGTCGGCTTCGAGACACATCCTGGACAGCTGGTGGGACTTCCAGTTGCTCGTTGACACATATCCAGAGGAACGGGCCATTGATGACCTAATTGAAGGGTTTGACATACCCCAGATCCTTAAAGAAGAACTTGTGTCTCTCTCAGCTGGTTCCGTCAGCGCGAGTCAAGAGAAGCCGAAGGCTAATTCTGAGGGCTGCAGTTCCGGGACTGAGGAACGTAATGATGAGTTGACATATAATGTTGAAGAACAGCAGAAATTGAACCCGGACCACGCATCACATGCTGCTGTGGAACGATGCCCGGAAGAGAAATATGAGGACAAGACACACGGCGATGACTGTTATGTGGAACTGAATCCCAGCAGGAAGGCAAGTTCAGAAAAAGAGCTCCCAGAAACCGAAGGCATAATGCAGAATCTGGATGAAGCTCAATCAGAGGTTGAGGACAAAGGATTGAAGGTTATTGTAGAGAAAAGGCAATCTGGACGGGACAAAGAGAATGAGGAAGAACTCAGAAATGAGACATGGAATATACCGGACCACAAAAGACAAATTTGTGACCGCGATCCAGAGAGATACCATCCACAGGATCCAGCCGATGATGAGAGCGGCAACAACCTGAGTGGTTGTGACAACCAAGCAGAGTCGTCGGCGCTCGAATACCACCAAATCCAAAGCTCGGATGAGGAAGAGTTGAGCTTCTCTGAGAAAACGTCAGGCTCAGAGGAGGAATGTGGCTCTTTAGCGGAATACCAAGCCCCTGTGACGGACACAAAATGTGACAAAGTGGAAGTTGCCAAAGACCTGTCTGACGAAGAGACTTCCAAGCCTGTCGCGGTCAGGGTGAGTCTTCTGGAGAAGCAGGCTGCTGATGCGCAGAAGACACGGAACAACAAAGAACACAACAAAAAAGTCTCGCTTTTATCCGAAGAGTCCATTGAAAGATTTCAGCAGTGCAGCCAATTCGCCCCGCCGTCATCACTATCCTTCAGCTACGACTCCAGCGGTGTGGCAACCCTGGAGCCTGAAGGCAACAGGGTCAAGTTCATAAGGGAAATGTTCCTGGCAAAAAGTTTCACAGATAATAGAAAGCAGAGCCTGCCCTCTGAGATGTCAGAAAGTGGCGGCTATGAGACACGAACGTCGAGTGAGCAGTCAAGCAGTGAAGAAGATCCGGCACGGAAGTCCATCACCAAAGGCTTCGTGAGGAGAACAATCGAAAGGCTTTACGGGAAGACCACTGCTGTCGAGAGACCCCCATCGGCCCCCAGAACCAAAAAGAAGCACTCCAACATTTTCCTGCCTTTTCATACAGCAAGATGCAAAGCGGCGTCTGAGTTGTCTTACTTCAACTCTACAGATGCTTTGGACACCTTGACCGAGGCCACCCGCTGCATCGCATTCAACGCACAAGTCGGACCTGGTGACAGCGTTGCCATCGACGACGGACGATGGCTCATCAGGGAGAACACACTCATCCGGAAATCTGTTTCCGACCCGACCGGAATCAACACGAACCTGGTCAACTCCGCCCATGATGAAGACGGCTGCGGGGACACGCAAGAGGACACTCCCTACTCCCTTTTTAGCATCACGTCCGAGCCAGAAGACCACAAAAAATCCAAAAGGTGCACCTATTTCTCTTTGCCGCACACCAGCGACTCGGAGGTGTGTCACGATGAACCGAGCGCCCAGGAGTCAAAACCGGAGAGCGTTGCTAAAATGAGGCCCGAGAGAAATGGCTCTGCTGTCGGGATGCAGGACAACAAAGTGCACCCGTTGGTGGAGCCCCCGGCAGACGGTGAGGGAGTAGTCGTGGAACAGCCCAAGAAAGGACACGGAGTGGTCACCCGAAGCCTCCAGGAGCCAGACGTGTTGGATCTGTTATACAACTTTTGCGGTGAAAACTGTCCCATCTTGTGAAGGACTGACTCATGAATATCATCTTTGGTGCCTATGTTTTTTTTTTTGTTTTTTTTTTTAATGTTCCCATAGCCTTGGGCATATATTGTTGACTGCGAGCAGACTGCATTATTTTATTTTCCATTTTAAATGTCTTCCTGTTGACACAAAGGCATTTAGTTCCCCTAAAGTACCAAATGTTTATCGCCTCAAAACCAAGGCATCCAACCGACATTTCTTTTTCTCGTGCTGTTACACCACCAATGTCAACATTCAGCACTTCCAGTGCATCGAGTGTAAATATAGATGGCCGTTTTTGTTTTGTTTCTGTTCACGGTTTTTACCCGTCATCAGGACAGAAGCTCTGGGATTAATTAGTGTAATCTGCTTTTAAAGCTCTTAAGAGAGAGACCAAGTCCCAGCAGCTGTCAGATGTCAGGGCAGGAGGTGCAGCTATGATGTGACCTAACGTTCGGTCACAATGTACAGTATGTTTTTCCTACGTCATAGTTTGTAAAGCGGGGGTATACGCACACACACCGATTTTGAACATCCTCACAGATTTGTCTTTTTTTTTAAATATGAGAGACCACAAAACATGACAAACAAAATCACCAAGTGTATACTTACTGATTTTAGCATGTGTGGTATCTTCCAGATGACCAAGACAGCACACCACGCACATAACTTTATCTAGCGCAGTGCCAGGATTGGCTTGTGAGAGGCAGCATGGTGGCACACGGAATCCAGACCACTGCAAAACACAAAGTAGTTAAAGTAGCTGTAGAAGAAATACATTGATGATCAGCTATCAACTTTTATCGCAAGGGAACGGAAATGCCCAATTATTGGCATGTGTGAAACCCTCGTAAGTGTTACTGAACAGATTGTGCTTAGCTAAAATTGTGAGTTTTACTGGTTGAAAATGTGGCAGCTGTGATGACTTTGTGTCTTTTAACTCTTGTGGAAACATTAAAAAAAGTGTATTTCCAAATGTATGCCCTCAAGTCATTTACCATGTGTCAACATCACAGTCACCCCCACAGATGCTCAGCCAGTGAGGGTTTGTCCTAAAAGTTTACCTTGGTTTTTTTTTGACCTGCCCTGATCACTATCACCTCTCCCAGCTTGAGGAAGCGTTTTTTTTGTTGTTCCAAGCTTGTTTTCGCGAGTGTTGAGGCGGCCCGTGTTGTGACAGGAGCGTGAAGGAATGTACTAAGAGAAGAAAAAACAAAACATGTCACTTACTGTCACACTCACTAAATGCTTGGAATACTTAAAAGGAAAATGTACATCACCAGCCACTAGGTGTCACTGCTCATCCCGGTCTTCTGTGCATCACTGGATTAAGAAAATGGGCAGGCATAGGCTGCAATGCTTTTACAGTTTATTATTTAAATATATGTTTACAACTTTTGGTATAAATCTCATCTATGCACAAAGTCATACGAGGGAGGGCGGGTAGCTTTGAGGAATTTCCACAATTGTTTATTATAAATGTTAGACTACGCATTTATCTACATGACCATTTCTCATATAGTACAGTGTAAGTTAAGGAAAAAGAGGTGCTGTGTGCTATGTAAAAAAAAAAAAAAAAAAGAAAGAAAGCCACCGTTAATTAAAATCAGGCACAACATCAAAGCAAAATGGACAGCCTGTTGGAAATTAGAAAAGGAAAAAAAACACCTTATAATTCAGGTTCCAATGCCCCGCCGCCTTAATGGCGAACAGTGTATGGCTCACTTTTGAATAACAACAAGCAAAAATGTAGTCTTAAAAAAGTAATTAAAAAACAAAGGCCCAAGTTACAGTTCTCAACATTTCTTCAGATATTTGGATACAAAATACTCACATTGTTCGTTTGAAATGTAGTGACACACTTTGATGGAGGGAGTAAAAGGGTCTAAAAGTGAGCAGCCACTGATGGGGAATCACCATGTACTTGATCACATATTAATGGATGGGAATAAAATTCAAAACAAACAAACTAACGATGACACGATTCATTTTCACCGAAGTAGTTTTAGGGCCTCACTGAAGAAAAAAAAATACTACAAGATTAAAGTTGGATTAAAAAAATTAATGTTTGAGAGAAATCCAGCATCATATTTTCAAAATAAAATTGGTTACATTATGAGAATAAACTAGTAATGTTTTCAAGACAAAGTCTTTTTTGAGCTAGTCTAATTTTCAAGAGAGAAAGTCGTACATTTTCCAAATTGAAATCATAATATCACAAGAAATACGTTGGACATTTACAAGATGAAAAAAAAAATTAAAGTTTTCAAGATCAAACTCATATTTCGAGAAGAACGTGGTCGGTTTTCAAGCTTGGCATAGTTGAGCTGGTCAAATTCATTCATTGTCCCAACTGCTTTTCAAACTAAAAAGTTAAACAGTCATTATTTTTGAACAAAAACTGATGCATATGTTTGAGATAAAGGTCAAATTTTTCACATTAGTTACAGTATATCACAACAAAGTCAAGTTTGAGAAAACAAGTAGTACATTTGAGTTGTATATCTTCGAGATTAAAGCAGTCATATAATGGGGGGTGGGGGGGGGGTGATTGGGGGTTAAAATGTTTTCCTGAAATAACGTATATTTTCAACAGAAAACTTATAGTATAGTTTGGAGTTTTACCTCCAAAATCCTTGAATCTTGTAGTGTGATTATTTTTTTCTTTTCAGCGGCATTGCCCCAATACTCCTTTGGTCGTTTCCACTTGAGGTTGCTTCAAATTAAATCCGATTTTTGCAAGTCAATTGTAAATGTGTTCATCCTGAGGTTGGAACCAAGGCGTGTCCATTTTGCGGGGAGGCAAACAGAGGTCCATCAGACGTCTTTTGGTGAGGGCGAGTCCTCGCCTCCAGCCTCGAACGTCATACAGAGTCAGACTTGGGCTGTTGAGAGTGTGTGCTGCTGACAAAGTTGTATACCAAAAACTGTGAGGTGCCAAAGTAGTGCGTGGCGAAGAGCTTGCCGTCGGGCGTCGGGTCCGAGAAGGCGATCTCATCTTTGCTCAGGTACGAACCGTAGATGAAGTTGTTCCTGTGCAATGAAAGAAAAGAAGCGGCTTTTAAATCTGAAACATCTTCTGATAAAATGAGTGAATGGAAGTAGCGGTTGCACAAAAACACTGACCTGGTCAGATTGACCCGCAACGGTTTTTGGTGAGCTTGTGAAATAAATTTAACCCATCTAAAATACAGAATTCAAGCCAAAAAAAAAAAAAAAAAAACTAAACAAAAACCAAAAAAAAAGGGAAAAAAAATTTTGGATGTTAAAAAAAAAAGTAGGGGTAAGACAAAAAAGTAGTA